CAGTGCTGAGAAATACAGGCAGATACTTATCCAGCATGCCACACCATCAGGGAGGAGTGTGATTGGCCCCAAATTTATTCTGTAGCAGGGCAATGACCCCAAACATACAATGTTAAGAACTATCTTCAGCGTAAAGAAGAACAAGGAGTCCTGGAAGTGATGGTTTGGCCCCCACAGAGCCCTGATCTCAATATCATTGAGTCTGTCTGGGATTACATGAAGAGACGGAAGGATTTGAGGCAACCTACATCCACAGATCTGTGGTTAGTTCTCCAAGAAGTTTGGAAAAACCTACCTGCTGAGTTCCTTCAAAAACTCTGTGCAAGTGTACCTAGAAGAAATGATGCTAATTTGAAGGCAAAGGGTGGTCACACCAAACGTTGATTTGGATTTCTCTTCTGTTTGCTCACTTTCCATTTTGTAAATTGATAAACATAAACAATTACAATATATATTTTTGAAAGCATTCTTACTTTATAGCATTTTTTCATACCTGCCTAAAACTTTTGCACAATACTGTAGATAATCAATATGTATGACAGCATTCTGAAAAATGTATTATTACATATACATAAAAACATTAAAGTAGTTAAATAGCAAAAAGTATCCACATTTAGATTTGTATAAACTGAAATAGAATCTAGTTATAGATTAAACTAGTTATAATTACCTGATCACTACTGACCATTCACAAAACAATTATTGAAAGATCGGTTAACTTAGTTTATTTGTTTATTTAAAACATACCAAACTCTGGGCGGCTCCCAACCAATAGTTAAAACAGCATCATTGCACAATTAATATATACATATAACTATTAAAACCACAAATAGTAAAAAACCTGGTACCATAATAAACTTTAACAAGCAGTCTACCACAAAAACTCTCATCGATCTCACCCTTTCCCAGTGTTTGGGGGGAAAACCAGGTCTTAAGTGATTTTTGGAAGGCTAGGAAGGTGGGGACCTGCTGAACTTCAGGGGGAAGGATGTTCCATGGGGCAGGGGCTGCCACAGAAAAGGCACACTTCCTAGATCCCATAAGATGGCAATGTTTAATGTTCAATGTGCCCACCCCATCTAATCTGGTAGGATGGATAGATGTCCTTAGGGAGAGGCAGTCCTGCAGATAATCTGACCCTGTGGCATATAGGGCTTTAAAGATAATAACCAGCACCTACCTTGAATTGCACCTAGAAGGAAATCAGGAGCCACTGCAGCTCGCCCAGCAGAAGTGTAACATGGGTAAACCTAGGGGCACCCATCACTGTGTGTACTGCCACATTCTGGACCAATTGGGATGGTCTTCAAATGCAGACCCATGTAGAGCATGTTGCAGTAATCCAAATGGGAAATGACCAAGGCATGGGTAACTGTGAGCAAGGCCTCCCAGTCCAGGAAGGAGCGCAATTGGTACTCCAGACATATCTGTGCAAAGACCCTCTTAGCCATGGCTGCCACCTGCTCCTCACCTCCTCACCTAGGAGTGAGTCTAGGAGGAACCCCAAATTGCGCACCAGCTCAGTCTGGGGGAGTGCCACCCCATCCAGAGTAAAAGATGAAATATCACCTGGGCCTGGGGGGCCAAAAACCCAGAGCCTTGCCAGGGTCGAGTTGAAGCCAGTTCCTCCCCATCCAGACCCTTACAGCCTCCAGGCAACCAGCCAGCAGCACCACAGCATCACCTGTCTGGCTAGGGGTGGAGATACATAACTCTGAGTCACTTTATCTGACAGATGCTGAGAATATTCCTCAGAGCAACACTGCAAGGGCTCCCCAGGCTCCTCCTTACCCAGGACGGACCTGGTCACCCAAAACAGGGCTGCTGATCAGCTATCTGCAGATGCAGTAAGGAAGGAGAAGTAATTACGTTTTGCCCAACGTCACAGAAAAGGTCTCATATCCAGTGATGTTTGGGGTAGAGACCCTAGTGGCCACCAGAGACTTACAAATGGCAACAGCCACACTCCCATCCCTGCCCTGGAGTCATTGCTGGTGCCATAGTCAAAACCTGGAGGGACACATTTCAGAGAAGACAATTCCCCCCTCTGTGCCCAACCAGGTTTCAGAGATACAGGCCAGGTCAGTGTTTTCATCCACAATTAGGTCATGGATGAGGGAGGCTTTATTACATATTGACCTGGCATTAAGCAGCAGCAGCTGGAGTCCAGAGCCACTAAAATCTGGAAACCAGGTCTTGGTGCTGAGCACAGGGGACCAAGAACGCATTATCTGTCTTAAACACTGAGACCGCCTTCCCCAAGAGTGGCCTGCTCCCTGTCTCCTGTCATATCTCCTCATCATACCCATCACCACCACAATGCCTTTTCTTGCCCTCTCCCTGCTTTCACCAATCAGCCTCTCCTCCCTCCCCTCCTCCTCCCCCAAGACAAAGGAACCCATTTTAACATTCACCCACAAACCGGGTAAAGAGATATAGACCTGATCAAAGGCACTTCTGCCTAGCATTCAGTGTCCCCATCTGGTCAGGCTCCCCTTCCCCCCACGCAAACCACATTCACTTTCCTAATTCACTCCATTCAATTCACCCCCCAAGCACCTCACCCTCACCAGGTGATTAGGGAAGGCGGACCTCTTGTGAGCTCTGCAGGTAAAGACCCCTCCCCCCAGTCTTTCACCTGAGAGTGGCAGGAAGACTCAATCCCATTTAGCCCATTCCCCCAATTAGTCCATAAGCCACTCCAGATCTTTTCCCACTGGGAACCAGCAGTCACTAACACTGTCCAATCCAACTGCCTTGGGATCTCCCCTCCACTGCAGACCCTAGGCAGCCACAGTCTAAGGTCTCAAACAAAGAGAGAGGGAGGCTCCAAGATGGCCACTTTTCCATGTGACTGGTCAAGCAGCAGCCACAGAACACAAGCTGTCTTTTACCCACAACTGCCAGTTCGCTCCAGTTCCCACTGCTGCTAATGACCTGGCTAACAGGAGACTCCTCTCCCCTGAAGTCATCCCCTGTCAAGGCGCCGTGGCCACAAACCTGCAGTCCTCCAGTCCAATAAGCCTCCGTCCACCCTGCCCCGCAGTTCCAAAGTGGAGGGCAGAGCTGTTCTGCAAGCTTTCCTGACACATCACTCTTCTTCCAGGAGCCGACCTCACACTGCTCATCAGCTGAAGAGCAGCTGATCTGAGGTGCTGCCAAGCTCCCTCCTCTGCTGGTTCGCTACCTACAAATCCTTACAGCAGAGAAACTATTGCCAGCCACCACTCCACTGCTTTGCTGCCCAGGGAGGTCCCAATGAGGCTGTGCTGTTATCCAGTGGCCGCACAATCCGCCATTCTGGCTGCTGTCAGAATGTTTCCTTGTTTCATGTGACATACTGAATTATAAATTAACTACACAAGCCAGGTTTGTATAACCTGCTGTGCTAAAATGTGATTAGCTAGTTTGTGATTCAGTGACCATGTCTGGATAGTATG